TGCTGGAGGAGACTCTTGAGAATCCCCTGGACTGCAAGGAGAAAAAAACTGTCAATTCTAAAGGAAATCAACCCTGAGTGCTCACTGGAAGGACAGATGCTGAAGCTGAGGTTCCAGTACTTTGGCCCTCTAATGAGAAGAAAAGACTCCCTGGAAAAGACCCTGATGTTGGGAAAGTGTGACGGCAAGAGGAGAAGGGGACGACCGAGGATGAGATGGCTGGACAGTGTCTGCGAAGCAACCAACATGAATTTGACACAACTCCGGGAGGCAGTAGAAGATAGGAGGGCCTGGCGTGCTCTGGTCCATGGGGTCACGAAGAGTCGGACACGACTAAACGACGACGATCCTAGCATTATTACTCTATGGGAGCTCAGGGCTTCAACAACTAGAACAAAGTGGAGGTGACAAAATTTTTGAGCAAGTGATTTTATAGAAAAGGATCCTAAGAAGTTTGCACAGTCATAATATACTGCTTGAAAGTGTTTTTATTTTAAATGTTTTTATATTGGTGTAGTGAAATAAGAGGTTGGAGAGAGGAGATCTCTCTCTCTCTCTCTCTGTCTCTCTCTCTCTCTCTCTCTTTCTTTCTGATGGATTATCAAGATAGTAAGGGAGATAAAGACATGATGGTCACACCTAATCCATCACAATGCATCACATAATAGGCATTTGTACCCATGCCCCCAGGCAGTGGTTCAGTTGATGAACACAGAACTGTGAGGTTACTCCACTGTTCAGTTTGTACATGTGCAATACAATTTCCAGAACAATATTTGATAAGAGGTGTGCCCAGACAGAGATTACTTACTTAAACTGCTGACCTTGCCAAATACTTTATTAGAAATCAGCTGTTAAGATACCTAGTATCAGCTGATCTCTTTTGCACCATAAGAATACAGTTGATGAACACAGAACTGTGAGGTTACTCCACTGTTCAGTTTGTACATGTGCAATACAATTTCCAGAACAATATTTGATAAGAGGTGTGCCCAGACAGAGATTACTTACTTAAACTGCTGACCTTGCCAAATACTTTATTAGAAATCAGCTGTTAAGATACCTAGTATCAGCTGATCTCTTTTGCACCATAAGAATAGAATATGAGCCCCCGTTGTGCGAGGCACCACTGTATGTAAGAATTCAACTGAGCCCTGGAAGGACATAAGCTAGAAAAGAGCATTTTGCTTTGCAGCATGTCTCGCTGCCCAGAAAAAAATGTTTATATATATTTTTTAAAAATGGAATGGGCTGGAGGGTTTTCAGGTACTGAGGGGAAAGCCTGTAAGTCCTGTATAGGGCAAGGCTGGTCACAGCCTAGTCTGTGGATTGTGTGTGGCCCCACTGGCCCTTATCTGTTTGTTTTTTATGGCCTGAAATGACCATGGCATCATCAGTGGGCAGGGAGCTGCAATTTGACGTTTGGGCAGTTTTCCCCCATTCCTTGTATAGGCTTCTAGAGGCCTTTTTTAAATTGGAGATTGCTTCCTCTTTTGGGGAAAGAGATCCGTAGGGGCCTAAATCAGGTATGCCCCCATGTGGCTAGTCGTGCCCACTAGAGCAGTGGAGGCAACCCTTTTTCAGCTCGAGTGCCCAAAACGAGGGGGTGGGGAAGAAACCAGTAGCTGCCATGCCACCCAGAAGACCAGAACCAGAATAGGAAGTAGCAGTTTCAGGGGGAATCATGGGGACAGACAGGAAGTTAAAGGGGGAATCATGGGGACGGACAGGAAGAGAAAGGGGGAATCCCAGCTGCAGCCACTTCAAAAGATTTGTCAGCTGCCAGAAGAAAGGGCTTCGTTTGCCAGCTGTGGCACACGTGCCATAGGTTTGCCATCACTGCACTAGAGAGTCTTTGCGATTTCTCCTTTTAAAAAATGGTGGTGCCATGTCAGGAATATGGCAACCGAGGAGGGTTTTTTCCTTATGTTACTAATTTTTATCATTTATTTACACATTCAGCAGTTGGCTAGCTAAGGCAGAGCTGCTTTTAGGGATAAATGTTATTTTACATTGGCCATGGTGTCTCTGTGATGGCTTGGATGGAGAGTTTAGTGAGTGTTTTGCAGTGACTTCTCATATACAGCCATTCAAACCTCATTTCCTTAAGCAGAATGTACACTTTCTGAATTGCATTTTTTTTTACAGTTCCTTTTGTTATTTTAGCATTTTATACATACAGCATCTCAGACATTGCCAGTGAGTGACTGGGGAGCACAGGGAGGAGTGTAAGGGCAGATGTAGTCCTGCAGGTTTGGGAATGGTGATGAATACAGCTCACTGGTCTCTTTTTCTAAGAAGTGAGGATATCCTGAAATAGCTCGTTGTTCATCATACTTGTTAATTTTTAATAGTGAGACTTCTTCTAACTATAGAGCAAGCATGAAGTAATATGTAATATACTGCAGTATATTTTGTTGTTATAAGCAGTTTTAACTTAGGAAGAACAAGCTCACATTTTCTCATGTTGCCACCCATGCTTTCCTAATGTGGAATAAAACCAACTTGTCTTAATCATAGAAGTCCAAGAGTAGGTGACTTGCTGACATGTTTATAAAGGCTACAATTGTTAATTATACCTTTCCATTTCTGACTCCTTTTTTCAGTTTGTGTTCTGTTTTTTAATCTCAGGAAGAATTTAAATGTAGCTATCCCTTTTTTGCAGGCTGAAAAATGAAAAGGCGTTTCGTCTCAGCATTGTAGGTAAGTGTTAAAAAAATCAGTTCCAGGTTTTGGACAGTTAATTTATTGGTAACATAATCCTTGCTCTCTAAGTCTTTCTCGGAAGAAAGTAGCCTAAGTAGTGCAGCATTTTTATAGCTCGATACTGGCACTGTTCTTGACTCCATCAATGTCTCTGAAGCTGGTATGGCTTAGTTTCTTTTTATGTCTGTTCTCTGAAACACTTGTTAAGTTTTCTATTACTGCATTGTGTGGCAATGGCCATTTTGTCACAGCCTTCCCTTACGGAAGAGTATTTGGTCACACTTGGATAGTTAAGAAGATTAGCTTTTTAGCTTCAAATGTAAAGTGTGTTGGGAGAAAGAAAGAGGTGGAAATGAAAGAAAGGGGGAAAATTGGGAAGATAGAGAAGGATCAGTGTTATATGCTTAAAGCTCTGTACCAACAGTAAATACATCAAACACATCTGCATTTTGGCTCCATTTAGCGATAAGTATTTTTTGCATCAGTTTGCTATGATAGAAAATACTGTAGCTACCTTTCCTTTTTCTTTGATGAATGAAATGGGAAAGGGCCAAGTGGTAGAATATATGCTCTGCATGCATTCAAAAGGCCAATTGAGAAGATCTTGAGATGGGAAGAATTCAGAGAATGATATGGCTTGCTAGTCAGTCAGTCAGTCTTTATTATTTTGACCACTTTGGTCATCCAACTTCCACAAATTTAAAACATAATTTATTTTATTTATTTATTAAATTTATACCCCGCCGATCTAGACCGAAGTCTACTCTGGGCAGCTAACAATAATTAACAGAATAAAAACAATATAATAAAATATAAGTATAAATGAAAATATATACACAAGCTTGTTGCCAGCTGAACAGTCACATTGCTAGCAAATTAAAAAGTACAAATACAAATATGTACATTCTGCAAAATGCTGAGTTAAAAACAAGATACAACAGGATTAATATGAACTCATAATTTCAATTTTAAAAGCCAAGTCATTTCAAGTGGCTCTTCATATGAGGTATGAGGTATTCTCACCACGTAAACATTTATTATAGCCACTGGCCGATAAAACCATGACACAATGATATAACAATAGTAAGGTTGTACATCTGATAAACTATATAGGCTTTAATCAGCTTTATATCCCATACCATATCTTTAGTACTTCCTATTCTATCCTTATTATTTAGTCAGTTATCGCTTAGTTTTATTGCCAGCTGTCCAAATTTGGCCGCTCTGTTTGTTACCCCATTATTCTTAACCTCCCAAAGCTTCTGTAGGCACTCCTTTCTATGTCTTCCAAGGGAGGTATACTAGGTTTTATGAGCCATTCTCGGATTTGCTTATAAATGTTACACTGTAAGATGACATGACTCATTGTCGCTATAGTTCCCTCACTACATGCACACAACTGACTCTTGTAGGGGGTATTGTTGTATCTTCCCAGCAAGTCCATGCACAATAATATAAAGGCCCTTATGGTTTCAGGATACTCTAAATCATTTAAGTACAGCTTGCTAGTCACTCTCTCCATGGGTCAGTGTTTTAATTTGTTCTGTGTTCTTGGATCAAAATAAGAAACCAAACTGGAGTATCACCAATAGGTGATACACCAATGGGTGATACAATATAGATGTAGACAGAAAGTGATTTCTGTGGTTGTAGAAACTTCTATACAGCTCTCTTGACATCACTGTCGTCTCATGACAGGAGCAGGACAGGTAGCCTCAACAAGACTGGCAGTAAGGTCAATGATCTACCGCTTTCTGCTCAGTCTGTTCATATATTCCCCCCCCCCC